TAGTTTAACTCTTACTTGTATCAAACTTTATACCCCTTTCGACAACTTATTAAAGATATACGATATAAATCTTCATATTATTAAGCTACGTCGACAATGGGTTATGATTGTATAAATAAAAATCATATATTTTTGTATAAATATCGTCGAATCTATTTAAATAGTTATTATTATGGGTTAAGGCACTATAAATGTTAATATTTATAGGTTAAGGGGAGCGTTAGGAAAATAGTTCAACTATATATAGAACTCTTATTTCTCTTCATTTCCTACACCATTCTCTCGTCTCTTTATAGAATTTTTCTTCTCACACTCAAGCATTTCGTTACCTCATGATTTGACTTATCTTTCTGTATTTTTAGTATAGTAAGGTGAGCATTGAAATGCTACAAGAATCTTTTTAGAAGAAAGATTCAGCGACGAAGTTCTGACCATAGAGTTTTAAGTTTTCGCTAGAAACCCTGTAAGTTGAGCTACACCTATTACAATTTACGTGTAAATTATTTTTAATATCGTATTTATGAAAAGTCATTATACTAATTGATCTACTTAAGGGGATGATCTTACATGGTTGTCCCTTATCAGCTATAGATCAGTAGACTTTGAATTAATGATGAATCTAGAATAATTATTAGTCGCAATATATATTAGACTAAGACTCAATGATAAATTATACTAGGTTAAGTCAAAGGAAAAGATAGTTGCTAGAAAGCGAAGTGTTGTCCAAGTTTCAAGTCATCACTTTAACAAGTGAGTGCATAGTTGCATTCATCTTACACATAGATATGAAGTATCTAGATAATTACATGCTTTATATGTTTATTATCTGTGCCAAAAATGTTATGTTTTATATAAAATAGTATGATATGACATTCAAATTGATTTAATCATGTAAGTATTATACACTTATAAATATGTATTGCGCAGTGATAGGGAGTGGTAGATAGGAGATGATAGATAGGTGATGGTAGATAAGTAATGATAAATAGGAGATGACTAGGAGATGCCCTAACCTTGACTTGCGATGTTGCGATGTACTCATCTACCGGAGTATAGTTGAGGATCACTGAATAATCCAAGCAAGTCATGTGGAAACACCGCCAGGCTCATAACCTGTAGGTGATAAATTAGGAGTTCAGGCGATGTAGTAACTATGTATTCATGCGATGATACTCTAACCCTTACTGGACACATATTGGGGGAGTAATCCTCGAAAAAGTACTATCTATACGACATAGGCGATGATCCTTAGGAAAATTCCTTAGCAACAAACACATACGAGAATGCGATGTAGGCGATGATAGGTAAATTCGATGTAGGAGATAACCCTTAGGATAAAATCATAGGGAAGAAAATATACAGGAAAAGGGGATTGGTAATCGGGTTAATTGGTTGACATGAAAAATGTGAATAACAAAATTAACTATATTATTGTGGGTTGACAAGCCTATGTACTCACCAGTTTTCCCAACCTGACCCACTCAGTTTATTTGTATCACAAGTTTCGATGCAAAGATACATTACACCGAGAGATTAAAGGAGATGTAAATCATTAGTGTAAATTAATGTAAGTTTTGTTTATGCTAATGTTTTGTATCAACTATGACATCCCAAGTTTTGAAAAGATATCAATATTGAACGTTTCTTCAAAAATGTTTAATGCTAATATTATCTCACATTGAAAAAATAATTTCGGGACCAATTCCACAGCAAAAGAAATACTCTGTTTTAAAAATAAGCATAAACAAAAATTTTAAAAATGACTGTAAATTTGGGGATGTCACAGTTGGTATCAGAGCATTAGTTTAAGTGAACTAAGAGTAATAAATTTATTTCTAGACTTAGACTTAGAATGCTAAGCGATGAATATGAGATGAGTGTCTGCTACATTTAGGAAGTATGGCTGAATAAAAATGAGCACCGACTTATTTAGGGAAGATGCCTAAATTACTTTTATGTGCTAAATGATTTATGCTATAAGATGCCTTATATGGTTTATGATTCTATTTTTTTGATCGGATCTCTGGTCTATTGCCGACTGGATTTGGAAATTTTATGTGCCCAGGTTTCTGAACATTTAACTACGATATTAGAACTGACATATAAGTTTTTGTAGTGATAAGGAGATTTATACGTCTATCGTAAATAGAGCTTTACCAAAACAACGAGTTTCAGAACCTGAAGAAGGGGAAGATGAGTGTCGATGAGTACACCACCGCATTCACCGAGAAGATGAAGCTATTCCCCTACTTGGTGCCTACTGAACTCTCCAAGATAGAGAGGTTTGCTAACGGGTGCCGGCAGACTTTGGTTCAATGGTGAAAATGGCAACTACTTTAAAGACAGCCGTCAGAGCAGCCAAGAACGTGGAGACCCAACTTCGGGAGAAGGGTCTGGAGAGAACAAAGACCGGAGAGAAAAGAAAGTTGGAGGGATCTATAAGATCCGATAAGAAGGGGAGATTCACGAAGTCTGAACCGGACGCCAATAAGTATGGGGGTAGCAATGAAGCCAAGTGGTGTGCCAAGTGAAAGAAGAAGCACTTCGGAAGATGTGATGGAGATCTGACTTGTTATAAGTGTGGGAGGACCGGTCATTATTCCAGAGATTGTACATTTGATAACAAGAAATGTTACGAATGTGGAGATGGTAGACATATTTTGAAGAACTACCCAAAATAAAAACGAAGCAACATGGAAAAATGTGCCGCCAAAGCCGAAGACAATGACCTATCATATGATCCTTGATAAGACAACAATAGGTCAGGAATAGAGGAAGACTTATTCAAGTATAGGATATAAAGAAGAAGATGAGTAGTATTAGGGTGTGTGGCCTAATGTAATTGGAATGTATCATAAATAAATCTCGTAATCACTTTTGAATAAGTAATATAATCCCTAATTATGTTAAATGACTATGTGCGATTCTTGTATGGTGACTTGGAAAACTACGAGACAATCCTTGGGACGAGTATGATTAGGTGTGAAAGATATTAAAGGCCTAAAATACTGGAAGCACATGACTCGTACTTGGATCAGGGAATGTCATAAAGTTACTAAGGTATTGGTATTTGAGTTTGTTTCGTTTGTTTCTGTCGTTACTATCGTTTCGGTAATGATTACAAAGATGACTGTTATTCCAACCCTAGTAGTCATATCAAATCGAGTCCGACTTGAGAATAATTCTGTGAAATAAGTTAATTGGTTCAGAGAACCATGTTCGATGTAGTATTCGACTCAAGTCAGGAGGTTAAAGGAAAGGATAATCAAAGCAATCAACAAAAGTGTCGTGACCGTCGGTAAAGTTAAGAAGCCTGTAGCTAAAATTGCTACCTGTTGTAATGTGATTGTATCGCATTAGAAAATGAAGCAAGGTGTCATCCATGTTGGATTCTGACTTAAAAAACCTGAATCTAGCCATTGCATCATACGACGAAAGGTCATCAGATGCACAACCCATCAGTCTGTTATATTAGTCGAAGTAAAGAACTTATCTTAAGTTATGTTTTTTTAAGAAGGAGCAGGAGTCTCAAATAAGGAACGAGTTTGTAACTCGAAGGTTACGATTGAAATCCCAACATAGGATAAAGAGTGGGTGCAAGATTGAGCACCGCCAACAGTCAAGAAGTCCTAGAGTTAGGTACTCATTTGAAATAACATAAGAGTTATGATTACCACCAATGATGGAAATGTAACGTGCGCAGTCATTATACAAGCCCAGTTTTGTTGATGATTTCGGGACGTAATCATCCTATGAGGAAGATAATTGTAAAGCCTACGTTAGGAACTGATAAGATGATGTAATAGTTACGGTCAACAATTGTAACCTATTTGATGTAAGAAGGAATAAATATTTGAGTATTATGTGAGTTATGTGTAAATTATGTGCATTATATACGTGTTTATAATGATATAATAAAATAAGAGTAATATACGCGTCTAAAACAAAATAATAATTAGACCAAATATCCTTGAAGAAAGCTGAAGTAATCGCGATGAGGATTTCATGGATATAAGGAACGCCTAAATGTGACTTCGGTGGAAGAAGTTATGATTTTTCTAATATTTCAACGTAACTATATTTTAGCATAGAAATCAAATTTTGATCGGTTGATTGTTAGCCGAAACAATCTAAACGAGAATTAAAGATCCTGTCGATAGGATTCCAACGATATAAAGACATTTGACAGTAGAGTTCGTATGAAGAAGTAAAAAATTTTACATAGTCGATTATAGTGTAATTTTCGTAGACTATTAAATTTAAGTTCAGATGAGAATTAGCTGACAGAGTCTTAATGAAAGTTGTAGTACTCGGAAATACCTACGCGTAGCTATAAAGTACGTCAAAAACGGAGTTCGTATGATCAATATATGAATTTTTAATAATTAGAGACATGTGGGTCCTACTGTTATTATTACTATTATATATATATATATATATATATATATATATATATATATATATATATATATATATAGGGGAATGCTCATGCGAAAATGCAAAGATTATGTAAAAATGAAAACAACCAATTAGAAGATTACACATCATTAATCATATGCTTTAATTAAAAAACTTTTAATTAGTTGTAAAGGTTATTTATGTCATTTACAAAAAACAGGATTCCACTCATTCAGGATCGGTTACATATTATAACTGAAGTGGAATAACTTACAAATTTGAATCTTTTCAATAGTATATATATATATATATATATATATATATATATATATATATATATATATATATATATATATATATATATATATATATCCCACTTTTGAATCACAATGGAAGAATATACCGTCCATATAACTTTTTCAGATTTCCAAACTTACCATTCCATGTGCAAATTAATATATATATATCCCACTTTTGAATCACAATGGAAGAATATACCGTCCATATAACTTTTTCAGATTTCCAAACTTACCATTCCATGTGCAAATTACCTTTATATCTAAACGTCAAGACTGTTTTTTTTTTCAAAATTTGTATCTTTGCTCAAGTAAAATTAACGCTTATATATAAATCTTAAATCAAACATAAAAATCAACATTGATATAATCCTTAAATTGAACATAAAAATCAACACTGTTATCATCCTTAAATGAAATATAATAATCAACAAGGAAGACTTCAACCATCTGCTGTTGTTTTGGCTTCTTCAACCATTTCTACATACTAATTTCATTGATGCTTCACCATGTGGATGAGAAGGTGGTTGCTTCATTGATGCAACATCATCGGAGTCACTTCAAACAAAACTTCAGTCAATGAGGTTGTCGTTATGTGTTGATCTGCAAGAGCTTCTCAAATCTCTGCTTGAAGGAAAATTAAGAAAATGAGTTCAAATATAAGCATTAAATAAATGAATAAAGAAATAAGGTTCAATAACTACACGCTAGCAAGATCCACTCGCTGAACTTGAAAACTTATTGAAAACAGTGAAACTTGCAATCTGCATTTAGCATACAAAATAGTTGAACAACCTACCAAAGCCAAAAAGAAGTTGTATAAGATACAAAGTATATAGGAAACCGAAAAAAAGAGGGAGAAAAGCAAAAAAGACAACAGAAAAATGACAGTCTTGAGAGTAAAGGCAGCACCAAGGTTTATCAGTAGTAGAAACCAAGCAAACAGAAATCGCCTTTTGAGATGCTAATAATAAAATGAAGATACTAATAATGACTAATGAGTAACTGAAGATTAATAAAAGCTAAATTCAAAAATCAACTTCTGTAACTAAAAGTTAAGATTTTCACATTTTGTATTGTAACACATTTTTCATGCTTTATAAATGTTAATAACTCATAAAATATAGGATTATAAGGGATAACATTATAAGTTACATGCATGTTAAAAGATACATTTGCATTCTTCACAAAATCACTTATTATACATAACACAAATAAAGTGATTTTGCCAAAACAAAGCACACAATTGTTGGTAAAAGATGAGAAACGAAACAGAGGTTTTGGGACCAACTTTTATGTGTTTTTCTATGTCCCTCTATCAAAGATTACAAGAGTACTTTAAATAACATAAATTTTAACTACTTATCCTAAAAAGACTACAACTACTGCCTACTAAATCTTTAGTGACAACATGGCCATTTACTTATTCATACTCTAAAGTCTAAACAAAAGACTAAAATACCCCTAATAAAACCTTATGCTTTGAACCGGTCACCACTTTTGCCTAAAACTCAGAATTAAACCCAACGGAGACACATTCATTCCGATTTCAACATTCTAGGAACCGTCGTTTCCAGTTCCGGGTATGCTCTATCCTACTCGAAACCTTCTTAGCATCTAAAAACCGATTCTGATTGCAGCAAAACAAGCAAATTCAAGAACACACAGTACAAATCGCATTTAATGGATTTACCTCAGGTCATTCAATGCATAATCAGGAGACTTGTTTTGAGTTAGTTCCTCCTGAAGAAAAGAACCACAGATCAAGAAAAGAACTGGGAATCACAATCTATTACGACTTTTTTTTGGCTGAAATGAATGGGATTCAATAGCCAACTAAACCATAAAAAACTCTATAAAGATAGAATTAAAAAGAACAGAAAAGAAAACAAATTAAGATGCAAATGAAACAACTCAATCTCTTGTTCTATAATAGTCAATCCGGATTTTAAGAATTCCCACCGATTAAAAAAAACTTATTCAATCCGGAAATTAAAAAATGTTGTTGATTTTTCCGTCAATTTGAATCTCTTTTACACCTAAACGAATCTTAAGAGAAATCCACATGGATAGTTGACATATCGCCATGAACCCATAGGAGGTAGTGCTCCGATTGAAATCAAAACCTCAAGCAACCATATCATTTTATGAAAAAAAAATGGATGAATCGAAATAAAGAAAGATACAGTTTGTTCAAACAAATTAGGGAAAAAGCACACCTGAAATCGTGAAATGCAACAATCAATTCAACGGAAATTAGGGCAAATCGTGAAATCACAGCGTCCCTTCAAATCTTCTCCCGGTCTTTGATTTCTCCATTTTTCTTTATGTTTGTTTGCTTTCTTTGTAGTTTGGTACTGATCTAAAACTGAAACTCTGAATCTTGATCGTTCAGGTTCTCGATGGAGGTGATGCGGTAGTTTTTACACAAACAAAGATATAGAGAAGGTGGATGGGTTCCGGTGTTGCATTTCCTTGGTGCGATGGTGCTACTATGGTGGTTCGTCATGGTGGAAAGGACACTGACGGTGGGAGTTATGGTGACAGATTGTGGTTCGCGGTGGAAAAAAGGGAGTAGCCGAGCAGACCCCGACTTTGGGTGGTTTAAGGCGGAAGGAGTAAAATCGGAGTCTAGGGTGGTGGTGATGTCGATGGGGCATGGTGACCGCATCAGGTGTAAGTCACCGGTCTTGGTGGTGGGTTGGGGAGAGGAGGAGGCAGTGATTACGTTTGAAAGAGTAGTTAGGGAGAGAGAATACAAACAAAGTGCGGATTGCAAACCATCCAAATATCTAAAATTATAACCGCCGCACTTAACATCGTTAACTAATTACCATATTATCCTTAATATTTAAAATAAGTTTTTAATCAATTGTAAATGAGTTATCATTCTAAAAACACACGTGTAATCTCCTAAATGGTTCTTTTCATTTTCACAGCTTATTTAGGTTTTCGCAGAACCTACTTTTATATATATATATATATATATATATATATATATATATATATATATATATATATATATATATATATATATATATATATATATATATACTTGGTTTAAACCCGTGGAAACCACGGTTAACAAATTAAAATAATATTAATACTTCAAAAGATAATATTAATCAATGATTTTCAAACGTTTATTAGTTTACAAAGTTAGATGATTTGGATGTAACTTTATAATGGTTGATTCAAATTAATATGTAAATTGTTTTGAAGATACGACCGACATTCTTTATGGTTTGATAAATGAAAAAAATGATGATGGTGTGTAATGAAATATAATATTGAATAGACTAAAACTCGTATACTAAACGGTTGATATATATATATATATATATATATATATATATATATATATATATATATATATATATATATAATGCAAAAAATAGCAACTTATTTATCCTTTGTAGCAAGAAATAATAAATTCCATGGAAATGACTTTTGAGACAATTAGATACCCTTTTATAAGTTATTGAAATATCTTTTTTCAAAAGAATAGTAACAAGAACCATTAACATCAATTATAACAATGTACTTTTAAAGTGCATTCTTATTTTAGCAATGTACTTTCATATTGCATATTTTTTTCAAAAATTATAAACTTATTTCTATTTAATATCAAGAAATAGTGACACGAACCATTTACATCAATTCTAGCAATGTACTTTAAAAGTACATTGTTATTTTAGGATTATCTTGCGAAATAATTTTTTTTTCAAAAAATAGTAACTTATTTCCATTTTATAATAAGGAATATTAAAAGTCAATGGGAATGGCTTTCTGAGACAATTAGATTCCCTTGAATATGTTTTGAATTTTTTTTTTCAAAAAAATAGTAACATGAACAATATTCGCATTAATTATGGCAATCTACATACACTTACGAATAACCATAACAAAATGGAAAAAAGTATGTCATAGATAAATTTTTACCATTGAAGTCACTTTAAAGTGTAACATATGCAATAGTTTGTAACATACTAACATTGACTCGTTAGTAATCAATATAAAGAGAAATCATTCCACAGTTGAGGCCATACACATATAATTACTTATTGAATATGTCATTATATTAATAGTTGAACATTCCAGACGGAAGGACCATACACATGAATATGACAAAACTTTGTCAAAATAATCTTACATGTGTATTTTTTTTAGTTGCACAATGCATGTCACATGTCAACTTGCCCATCAGATCAAACTTTCAAGGTTTCTTGCTCATGTGAATTGCTTTACGTCGCCTGGAAGGATTGAAATATATAGAATATATTCGTTGTATAACTGTATTCAAAAGATTTAAAAAAAATAATGATTGATTATAAGAGGGTAGACTTTTCATTTTCTCGCAAATTCTTGACCTATCAATTTTTGTAAAAAACATATAAACCAATAAAAAATATTCCTTTTGAAAACAAAAAACAATGTATAAGATACCTCTTGAATCTTGATATGAGTTGCCTCTTACGCTTTGACATCTTGTACTCCTTAGAGTTTGATCACTTGCCCTCCCATCGTTGGCTCTAAACCAACCTAATCATGTTCTTATAGAACAAAAGAACACCATTAGCTACAAAATCATCCATCAGTTAATGTTGTTCACACATCAATTGTTTATTTAATTTATGCAATTTGAGAGTAAAATTATGTAATAAATGTCCTACCTGATCATTGAAAGTCTTTTTCAACATGTTCTTAAGAGCAATGAAAGTCTAGAGCTCCACCTTGATCCTGACTAAAAGAATACTAATAAACAATCATTACCAAAATCTGATTATAAGAACTTGGGTTTAAATTTAAGAGTTATTACCTGCTAAGAAGTGGCCACTGAAGAATGTTTGATGTAGGTGGGTGCGATGAACACTAATTCACATTCATCGCTAATCAACAATCTTACTGAAACATTTAACGATTGCCATTCATTTCATAAAAAACTATAATTCATAAGCAAAGAACATAAACTAAAATTAAAAGAAAAACATTGTTATTGAGTATTATTTGTGTTTACCTGGAGAGAGCAGCAGGCAGATAATCGAGAGCAGGTGTAATCATCAGTGAGGCTACTAGAGGGTTTTCTAAACAGATAAACAAACCAACCATCTAAGCATCGGTTTGAGATATTCCTTTGAACACCCGGATTTCATGTTTTATCAACCCGTAATAAAAAGTGGTAGCTTGACTTCCTAAAATATGGTAGTTTTGTTGTAGATGGATTTGCATTCTGAAAATGAACGAAAAGTTATGTACTCGTTCAAGAATCAAAGGTTTAGATCGAAGAATTGAAAAGAAAAGGTAAGGACCAAGTACTTACAATCTCGTGAGTACATTCCCTTTCTGCTATTCACATCAGAAAAAGAATTCCTAGACCGATTTCTCATCAAGAGACCGACTCATCAAACAAAAGCAATTGATTAAGAGGGTGGGATAAGAAGCAAATCGATTGAGATATGTAATTCAATGCAATCAATTTTTTCCTAAAATCTCGGGATCTTTAACAAACTTCGGGTGATAACGTCCCTTATTTATTGGCCATATTTACTAACTTTGTTATCGAGGAAAAAATTATGAGTGAGAATGGATGCCAAACAAGGTAGATTCCTATTATAGTTCCTGATTTTTAATTTAGATTTTAATGTTTGATTTGAAATGGCTGAATAATGTTATGCCTTCGGTATTAGGATCAAGGAGGAGGGTATATGTAGAATTTCACATTGAAAATTTTTGGCGGGAAAATATTCTGAGAATGGTTTAAGAGATGCCACATGACAAAAATCTAGTTATTTATTAGATTAGGGGATATATATATATATATATATATATATATATATATATATATATATATATATAGAGAGAGAGAGAGAGAGATAGAGATAGAGAGAGGGTCCCATTGTCTTTAATAATTTTATAATTACACATTAGACCCCTATACTTTTATATATTTTTATTTTTCATATTATACATGATTAAATAACGTAATTTATCATACTTTTACGTATTGAAATACAGTATAAATTACGTCGTTAAATAGGTATCGACGATGTGGTAAATATAAGACCAAAAATGGAATATTTTGGTGCTATTTTTGTATAATCCATACTTTTATCAGACTTACACTTCATATTCCTTTCAACAATATATTAAAGATATACGATATAAATCTGAATATTATTAAAGTACGTCGAAAATGGGTTATGATTGTATAAATAAAAATTAGATATTTTTGTATAAATATCGTCGAATCTATTTAAATAGTTATTATTATGGGTTAAGGTATTATAAATGTTAATATTTATAAGCTAAAGGGAGCGTTAGGAAAATAGTTCAACTATAAATAGAACTCATATTTCTCTTCATTTACTACACCATTCACTCATCTCTTAAGAGAATTTCTCTTCTCACCCTCGTGCATTTCGATCCCTCATGATTTGACTTCTTTTTCTATGATTTTAGTATAGTAAGGTGAGCACTGAAGCGCCATAAGAATCTTTTTAGAAGAAAGTTACTATGACCAAGTTCTGACCACAGAGTTCTAAGTTTTCGTTAGAAACCCTATAAGTTGAGCTACACCTATTACGCTTTTCTTATGTTTAAATTTATTATCGTATTTATGAACCAATAAACAAGATTTATTAGTGATTCCAAGTCGTTATACTGATTGATCTACTTACGGCGATGATGACAAGGCTAGATTTAGTGAGGTGTTTAGTGTGGGATTTCAAAACAGTATACTATGTATGCCAAATGGACCCTACCTCTGATATGATCTTGTCTGGTTGTCCCTTATCAGCTATAGATCCTTAGAATTTTAACTAATGATGAATCTAGGCTAATAATTAGTCGCAACAAATATTAGACTAAGACTAAATGATAATAATACTAGGTTACGTCAAAGGAAAAGATAGTTGCTAGAAGTGAAGCATTGTCTAAGTTTCAAGTCATCACTTTAACAAGTGAGTGCATAGTTACATTCATCTTACACATAGATATAAAGTATTTAGATAATTATATGCTTTATGTGTTTATTATATGTGCCAAAAATGTTATGTGTTAGATAAAATAATATGAGATGATATTTAAATTGATTTAATCATATAAGCATTATACACTTATATATATGTATTGGGCAATGATACAGGATGGTAGATAGGAGATAATATATAGGTGATGGTAGATAGGTAATGATAAATAGGAGATGACTAGGAGATGCCATGACCTTGACTTGTGATGTTGCGATTCAGTCATCTATAGGAGTATAGATGGCGACCTCTGACTAATCCAAACAAGTTACTTGTACTACATTATACTTATAATGGAAGGGGTTTGTCCTATCCTACCCATTCGGCTAACGACCCTCTACTAGTCAAGGGTACGGTGGATAAGAGTGGATACCCATTCAATCGCCATTTTATAGGCAATTTCCTTAAATACCCCTTATAGACCAACTTCGTGAATGAGGCCTACTAACGATAAGACTGACATTTACTTATACATATATAATATTAAACTTTTAATTCTATACAGTATAAGAGTGTATTTTACACTTTTAAAATACTATGTGGTTCAATCTATTAATAAATTAGACGTTTAATTTGATTAACTTAAACCATATACTTATGAATTAATCAATTATCTCTTTTAATTAAACACATAATTAATTTAATA